GCTCTCTTCATTCAACAAACAAGCTTTGTTGCTTCACTGGCGACTCACCATTTTGTTGTTGATTTCGTGGAAATGAATCTCGCAGACTTTGTCCACCACGTCCTCGCTTTGAAACGTGACAAATCCAAAACCTGAAACATAAAGAATAGGTGCTCCGTTATAAACGGTAATCAGATATGACAAGCATTAATTTCGAAGATTAGGTTCTATGGAAACATTCGTTTGATTCCTAACTACTCTATTTAATCAACTTGACTTTCTATATGGCTGACAAATACAGATAATGGAGTAAAATTTGATGTTACAATTTGTGTAGTTTTAATCATAGAATATAGACTGAATTAAAATGGTTCAACTGTAATATTCAATCTCGTCGCCACTGAAAAAGAAAGATGAAAAATTCCGGTGCGGCATTCAGCTCACACGATAACTGTGAAAAAAGCAGCACCGCATGATAAGAAGTAAGTTCGAAGCATCCAAAGTTGCCGGATCAAAGTGAATCTCAACCAGCCCTTTAAATACGACGCGTATCCCCGACGAATGGCCTTCGTTCGCCATAATTCTCTGGGCTTAAAAACGTCCAAGTTAACGTAACTTCCATGCGTTCCAGCCACGAAGATAACTATCCCGCCGGATCTTCCATTAATTCAGCGGAGTCGGATGAGTTTCGTCTCTACCCTTGCCGACCTTCCCCCGCGCGCCGAGCCGCGTGGGCACCGTCTCACTCGAACGCGGTCTAAGCATTTCTGCTCGAAATTTATTTCGCTCGAAGACGTACGAGAGGAAGAGAGACGGGACGAACGGGCGAAGAGTCCATAACTTAATCAAGCATCAAGGGTTATTAAAAACTTTGCATTGGTCTCCAGGTGATTTTAATCTCGCCCCTTCGCTCCGTCGCCCTCGCGCCCAGCTAGCCAACCGTCTTCTTCCCGCGCGGCGTAGTAATTCAGGCTCAAGTTATCCGGCTGGCGCGAGTTATACGAATCCAGTGCGCGATGTCGCTTAAGATAACCAGGAGTTAGTGCTTCCGTGCTGAAGCAGTCTCCGAGAGAGAAACTACGCCAGGTGACTCGTAATTAAACACAGCCGATGGATACCGGAGTCGAATGCGAGTCGACAGCCCTCGCGATTCTTCGAGCGTCCTCCGCCCACACCTTTTAAAATTTCACTGGAAATGGAACGGGTCCGTGGAATTTAATTACAGCGGAGTCAACGGCCAGGAACAACACCAACACGTTCGGCTAGTTTACTCGAGTAATTAGCATCGATCGAACTTGGCTCTTGTTTATAATGAATCATGTAGGGGATGATCGGAGCACATCAAAGTGACTTTCTAGCGGAGATTATGGTTTCGAACGCGCATCAAAGAGATACGTGCAATCTCGATAGGTGCATCGTATATTAGTGAATTAATTGTCTGATGGTCATACTTTTAACGTCAGTAAATGCTTTCACGAACCTTAATGCTGTATGTCAATTTTGTGATTGGTTGTTGATGTTTTAGACACAATCGATTGTTAAATAAGTATAAAATAGTCACTGACAAAAATTCAATTGACCGATTAAATTATATAATACAGCTTCAACTTCTATCACAATAAAAAATATAATTATAGTACTGTATAAATATAGTACTGTAAATATAATTGTCAACTGCTTCAGGTAAAAGCAATAGAAAATGAAACTTCCCTATTGAAAACAGATGGTTACTTTAAGGCCACCGCAGCAGGATATTTTAAAACCGTTCCTGCCAAGTAACAAGGTTGTTCTGACATCTCCAACCGAAGCGCAAACTCCTTTTCAAACATTCTTCGTTTTCAAAGAGCACCGTTGGATACCGTCCAGGATCCCCACGAGAGTTCTTCTGGAAAGAAGCTCGCGAAATGGATTGTGGGTCTGCGTTCCGCATTAAACCATTCTCGATGTATAAATTTGATACAATTATAAAATTAAAGATTGGATCCTCTCAGCCGACTGGCCGGAGACGGTCCGTACATCAAAGACCCCGATCGTTTTGCATCGGGGGCTTCGGTGGCTCGTAAAATTTATAAACGCAATGCTACAGAGGGATGATATTGTCGTCCGTGTTTCCGGTCGCATTAATGGAGGCAAACAAGCGTTCAAAGAACTCGGCCACCTGACGGAAAGGAAGCCGTGGCCCGCGTGGTGTGATAAAGAAGAGGACCCAGGCGAAAAAAAGACGGGAGAACGGGCGGCGTTGCAGGGCCGGGTGGTGGGTCGAGGAAAAAAAACACAGAAAGGGAGGCGAAGGTTTAAGCCATATCCATTTACAAGTTTCAAATCGTTCTGCCAGCCGTTTGAAAGGAACCTTTTAGCATTCTCAATAGACGGTAAAATTCTGAAACGCGCTTAGCAACAGCGTGGCTTTTAAACGTTAACATGGCCACTGGTACAATGGCGGGGTCGCATTATGCTCGAGACTCGAGAGGAGAGGAAAAGGACGAACAAGGGGGTGGGAAAAGGAGACGGGTTAGGTGGTGCAACCAGGCGGGAACGAGAGAGACTAGGACCGCGAGAGATGGAAAACTGCGATAGCCACGGAACAGAGAAGAATTGCTCTCTTCCGTCAACGCCTGCCGCTTGGAGCCATCAACTTCCATTCTTCCTCTCGTCAAGAGAATTTAACCCTAGAATGAAAGTAGCTAATACTTGTCCGGTTCCCCTCCACCGAACGCGAAACGCCGTTCCGCGTTTTCTGTCTTCCTACCTGATTTAAGCGACGTTTTTCCGTCGTCGCATGAATGTCAGAGTTTTAAGTACTTCTGAAATCATCGCTCGCCATGATATCGACTTTTACTTTATCAATGAACGTTAATATTTACGTACGAATTACGAAGATATTCATATTTTGAAATGTAATTGTTGAGCTCTTCTATGAGAACTACACTATATTAAAACATTATCTGAATCGACAGTGTTTTCTTGTAAAAATGTGTATGCCGATTCCACATATTTCTTCTTCTACCTAAGGCGACAAACAGTGGTCGCCGCTGGTCGCGCAATCTAAATCGTCGAAAGGCAATGGGCGCAGCGTGAAAAATATTTTTATACGATCCGCTTTCGGACCCGATAAGGCCGGTTATAATTCTGTCGAGCGTGGACCGGAGAGGTAGTAGAATCGGATCGCTTGTGGATCATTTAAGGAACTCTTGGGAGGTAAGAGGATAAGAGGAAAGGTATACGGTCGGGATAGGAGCGAGTAAAGGATATTTTCGGGGTGTGTTTTTTATTGAAATGAGCGCATCTGGCGTCCAACGAAGGGTCGGACAGCTGAGCACGCATTTTTTCCCTCTCCTTGCCGCTCCACCTAACCCCCACGGGGGTGGCCGGCGAACAGTTGCCTCCTCTATGCGAGAGCCGAGCCACCCCTCGGTAGCTGGGTCACGGAAGTAAATCCCCTTATGAAAATTCGAACTCGGGGAGCCACTTTTTCTTCCAAAATTTATTAGAATCCTGGTCGTAGATCGCTGACCGCGCTGACCCCGTCGCCCATCTAAGGCCTCCCGAGCTATCCTCTGCCTTCGTCGAGGCTCTAAAGACGCGTAACCCTCGACCGCGCCATCCAATACGTTTCACCGACACATGCCGCCACGATATAATCGCGTTTTATCGAAGCCAGAGGCGAGCGTATCGAAATGTTCCACGCGAATGTAATCGAACAATGATGACAGTAACTCATGGTACGTAAAGCGAAATAGTTTCGTCTGGATATTGGATTGACTGTTGCAAAATGCTCCGTGGATATTAGATTATTTCTAACAGAGAAGAATAACATACGAATATTGTGATATGGTTTCGTGAGAGTAAAAGGGAATTAAAACGATAAATCATCGTGGATTAAATAATTAAAATTCAGGATTAAAAGAACGAGTGAATTATTCCCGGAAATATTGCTGATTTTGGGGCATAATAAATATTACGAGTAAAATTTTCGTTAATTCTTTTAATAATACTAAAACGGGGGAATAAGTCTTTCAATAGGAGTCAGTTTCATTTCGTCGAGCACAGTCTACGTGTACGTGAATACCCGAATTCCGAGTATACGTTACTCATTGTGCCTTGAATTGGTCTTCGTTTGCATTCTATCTCGTTCGCTCTCCACCCGGCTAGAATTAATTATCCACACGGTGGATTTTATCATCATCTACGCGAATCACTTTAAAATATCTGGTTATAAAGCTCGAGTTTCTCGGCTCCGTTGTTTCGATGTAACGTATGAAGAAAATCGTCCAGCATTTTCCAGGGAACATCATCAAGCCCTTCAGCGCGGGCGAAATTTATGAAGCAATGTAATTTCATCTCGCGCGCTGCCGAAACACTATTTTACACGGTGTCGGTCCTATTATAAATTCATGCGATATTTCGCGTACATTATATTCCGGATAGACACACACCGACACACGTATCTACACGCACCGTTCCGTCGGTCGACTTTATTCCCTGCGAAAAGTGACTGAAGGACGTGGCTCAGCGTGAACAGTCTGTCATAACTTTTTAATACCTCTTGAAAGGAGACGACTTTGTAGTAGTCCGGACAGGATATTAAAGCTTTAAAAGACGAATAATATCGGGACGGGGTCGGTGAATACTTTTGCCCGGTCCTCGTGTCCGGGCCTGTGTGCACGCTCGTTGGACTCCAACGGGAAGTAGTTAAATGTTACCGGTGTCAGGGCACGGCCTTTGTGCAGGGCAGAGTTCTCAGGCACCGTGGAGTTAGCTGACTGGCAGAGTACTATAAATTACATAAATGAAGTAAGCCCTTTCCTCACTCAAACGGACGTCTTGCCAAGTTTATAACTTAATCACTCGTGCTTTTCATGGCGGTGAGGGAGCTTAAGGACCGGGAGACGCAGTAGACAGTGTAAGTTGCCGGGCAAGGCGTTCGCAAAGGGATGAAGTCGGCAAGGAAATAAAAGTAATTCCGCGAGGACGGCGAATTGAAAAAGCAGCGACGGAACCAAGCCGCGGGATAATTGAATCTAAACCGCGTTCTGATTTACTGGATCGTTGTCGGGACGCTGTGTATAATATTTATGCGAACACCAAGCGATGCTACCAAATGTGAACTACTTAATTTTCTGGGCATTAAGTTAATATTTAACATTTATTT